AAAGTTTCCATAGACAGAAATTACAACTCCTTTTGAAATTGTTAATATTTTCCCACAGGTTAATAAAATGTAGTCATTTAAAAAGAGGTTACTACTGAAATAGAGATAATTAGGGAATATTTAAATTTATGTCGTTTTCCTCTTTTCAATGGAATGACCCTACTTTAAAATGAATTTGGCTTAAACATCTTCAAACTCAGTATGTTTCGTTTGAATACGCTTTCGTTCTGCACTTCACAGATGCTTTTTCATACTTCCAAGACACAAATTTCTTCTTTTTTTTTGGAAATGGAGTATACAAATTCGAAACATTTACTAATTGCATTTGTTTTAAAGTAGTCTTTCAATTAGTTGATTTAGAAAAATCACTTGTTTCCGTCAGGGTATTGACAAGTGAAATACTGTAAACAAACTTCGCTTGTGAGCTTTTACTAGTCGCTCCATTGACTCTAGAAGTTTCACCATGTCTCAATAATTCAATTAAACAAATTGTTACGAATCAATTAATTAATAAATGTCCCAGTCAATTGCAAAAATTAAAAACAAAAATGGTTGTGGTAGGATGGCGAATAATTTCGCTAAAAAAAAGAATCTACCTATTTTGGAAACAAGGTATTTCTGCTCGTACGTACTATATGCACATATGTACATAGCTACATCCCTGCAAAAAAATGGGACTAAACCGGGATGACTCCGAGAGCAATCGCAAAGGAGCATGCGACTAATACCACTTTTGATCTCTTTATATGGAATGAACTGATCGCTTTTGTTCGGGCATGTCCTATGAAGAGACTAATTGTTCACATTTATACCCGAAAGGGTATAAAAAGCGACTAATCGCTTTTAAAAAATAAAAATAAAAATTTTCGCCAGCTGAGATTCGAACCGGGGAGCTCAGTTTTGTTAGGCGAATACTCTCTATGTGTGCCAACGCCGCACATGAAATTTCATTCACTAAGAGCGTACATATCATTAAATCGTTAATAGTACCCGTTAGAGATGAGTTGGGGACTAATTGATCTCCAATTATACCCACAAGGGATGAGTCGAGACTAATTGACCTCCATTAGTACCCGTATGAGACTAGTTGGGACTAATTAATGCCCAATTGTACCCAATTGAGAGTAATCTCGGAATACTCTCTTTAGAGATTAGTCGCACAATTTTTTGCAGGGATATGACTATGCATGCATGTCTGAGTTGCATTAGGGCGGCTCACGGGATTTCAAGAACGTTTACTTTAATCAGCAGCATAATCGCTGATTACAATGCATGACAAATTAGTTATTTTTCACCGGATGCCTCTATCCATTTCCTATGTAGAATCGCTCGTTAATTCCGAAAATGGTGTTAATTTTTTTCTATTTTTTCGTGAAAAAAGTTGAAAAAATCTAATTTTTACAGGGAAAAAATTAAAAAAAATAACAAATACTGTTTCATGGATAAACAAAATCGGAATGAGTGGTCAAATGAGGACGCGCAAGGATTTTTATACACGAGCGCACTTGAGCAAACATAAAAGGCTTTAACACAAATGAAAAAAATGTACACAGAATTTGCTATTATTAAATTTTTTCCCTGTTAAAATTTGATTTTTTTTTTTTTCATCAAAACCCAAAAAATCTGGAATGATTAATTAATTTCTCAGAAACTATAAGGCATAACGAAAAGTGATGTAAATACGGCTTGTGTATAATTTAGTTAACTTTCATTTGCCACACTTCGTATTAAGATTGTTCAATTGCTTCGTAAGATATACATAAGCGATTAAGTGGAAAATAATAAGAAAAAAAGTTATCTCGATTTTCGGAGTAAGCAAGCAATTCTAAATAGGCATTGGAAAGTGGCATCCAATGTGCATTTTTACTGTAAATCAGTGTTATTTTTAATTTTCTTTGTTTAAATTTTTTTTAAAGATCTCTATAAAGTGATATTTTCATACAAATTTTCGATTTATAAATCAGTTAAAGCCTTCTTTATTTTTTATGATAAAGACTTTTTAATATTTCCCATCGCCCACTATGACATTTAAATGATTTTTTTTATGACTATCATATTCATTTTCTTCCACATGAAAAAATTTCGAGAACATGTATATACATATGTTGTATGGAGAAAATGAACAACATCTTCAACAAACAAAAATCTCACACATCAACGGTGAGTCGCAGCATCTTCAAAACTGCAATTTATTAGTCTAAGATTCAATGAGTACAAATTTGTTTAAAGAGTAATTAAGAGAGAAATATAGAGTTAGCGGAACAAATAAAATATATAAATATTAAAAAACGTTCGTATCGCAAAAAATTTTTTTCGGGATAGTGTATGTTGTTAATTTTGAAGTAAAACATAAAACTTTTTCTTTTTCGTGATAAAATAAAACCAAATTTCAAAGAAATTTAACCATTCTCCTAAGTAGGGCTAATTTAGGAAGTTTCTGTTGAATGCTCACATCACTGTCTAAAGTATAGGGAAAATTTATTTCACATATTTGTTTTTATACAAATCTTGATATAGAAACCGTTATGAACAAGGTAGGTTTACTTGCAATAAATTTGTGTAGTACTTTATAAAAATAAGGTAAACGGCGTTATTTGAAAAATGTATGAATCGATCTTGGGAGATGGGGTATTTTTATTCCGATTCGAATCGATTCCAAAAGCGACTATTTTTTATTTCGATTTGGCATTTCTGTTACATAGTTAACTTGCATGACTCTCTTCCAAACTTATACAAATGGACATAACCTTGAAAGCAGGCTCTTATTAGCTATCACTATGGAAAAACATTTATTGCGTTTTCAATTTGATTTATGTATGCCATTATGGAGTTGATATTGTAGACGGGAACAACAACTCAAAAGAGGCACTCTAAACTCCAAACCGGCATTGTAAACGCTCCCTTACATATGCATGATATGTAGCTTTAAATTCCATCAAACAAATGTTCAAAAATATATTAAATATGAGTCATAAGCAGACATACATAAATATAACATTTCGATCAAAGTTCATATCTTCATTGACAGCTCATATACTCCAGCCGGGTATCTACCATGAACACTTGTGTAATAATAGCAATTTATCAGTGTTTGTATATTTTACCTCACACAGAGTACATTAGGACGGGACGCAAAAAAAAATTTGTAATCCCTGATTTTAAAGTAGTCGTATGTAAGAACATATGTATGTACATAATTGCACATGCAAACACCGAACCGGTCGATACATAGGATTTTAGGGTAGGCAAACTCACGAATCAATGCCCCCGATGATATGCGAAGAAAACTTAAAACATCTTCATACATTTATTTTTCATGGATTCGATTTTTATTTTATTTTTTTTTTTTTCAATTAATAACTTTTTTAACAGCGGTCGACCCTCGGCAGGCAATGGCAAACTCAATTTGTGTAACAATATCAAAACGTACACCACAAATTCGGGAGAAGCTCGGCCAAACACTTAGCAAAACGTGTAAGCGCCAAATATTATATTACTACTAGCAGACGCGGCGAACTTTGTCCCGCCCAAATTAAATTTTTTGTATTGAAATATTTTGGTCCAAAATTTTCACCAACAGTTCACGTTCAGGATTTCCAGTGACGCATTTATCTTCTCATATTATGGTTTGGTGGTTGTCAGAAGGCATATATCCATTGCCATCTTAAATAACCTAGCAAAAGTGTATATGCATACAAAGATACGTAATAGCTTTAGTGCGTTTAAAAGGCGCAACGCCCCCCTATAAAATAGCCGCAATATTCTCTAGGAGTATGGGATTGAGTTCATATATATCCCTACCAAGCTCCAGTACTCTACCATGAACACTTCCAGAGATATGCAGTATGCAAAATCCGGCTTGTATGGGAGGTGCCACGTCCCATTTTCTAATAGCCCCAATTTTTCTTCATGACCTACCAGAATCGAAAGATCAGGCTTCGGGAGCCTAAGGAGATCTCTAGACCGTCCCCGGTCCACCCTCCGCCAGAACGACCCCGCATGCTCTGGTTTTCCATAGCGTTCGCTGAGTTAACCTGAGACCCATCTTTCTAAGAGAAGTCCACAACTAGTCAAGGCAGCTCCCTCTCGAACTTTCTCACTCCAGGCTAGACACACGTGTCATCAAGGATGAAATCAAAGCCCTCGAGAATACTATAGCGTGCAGACCTCGAGTTGGTCGGGCAACTAGCACCCCTAAGTCTGCCGCCCTTGCTGTAGCTACTTTTTCTGCGATGGCTACAGGTATTTTTGCCTTTTTACATTATTCGGTGAAACCTACATTCAATAAAAAAATATTTATTTATATAAATAGTTTTACTGGAATAATGATTTCTGATCAGCTTGAATTTAGTGACATTAGTGTGGCACGTTAGGACGAAAAGAACTGCGATCTGGTGGGTAAGTATAAGAACGGGGTACTTAAGTTCAACTTAATTTGAAACAAAAAAATGTGTCGATCCATAGATATATCACACTTTACGATGCGACTGTAAATGGTAGAGATATAAAAAAAATACATACATTAGAACTTTTCTTTTTGGTACGACCCATTATTCATACTTACACTGAGAAAAGAGTTTACTTAGTCAATTAAGTATGTTTTTCGCAACACATGATTTGGTTATATTTTAGTTACCAAATTTTGTCTTGAGCGATATATGTATGTATATATGTGTGTATATATGTAAGTATATTTAGCTGACCCTTTTAGAATTACATAAAATAAAAAAAAGATTTATGTAGCACATATCTACTCGACCACCCTAGCACAAGCATTTTATCTACCATATTGTAAAAAATACTCAGATGTATTTGTGGTAATTATTTAATGTATCTGCAAGTATGCACTTGTATATAAATAATAAGGTACATAAGTATGTATTTATGTATTTGCAAGTTCACCCATACATGCGTGCCCAGATAAGACACGAAAGCCAATGATTATTGGACGAATTTCGATTTGAAATATAAACTGACTCAGTTGATTTCAACAAGAAAACAGTAATAAAATAACCGTCGAAGTAAACGGGCGCTGTTGGATCTGTTAAACTAAGAAACGTTAAAATTTGTATATCAACAGCATACTGATAAAGAATTAAAAGTACAAAACCGAAGGAGTATTATATAGGAAATAAAAAAAGGAGAAGCATTTTTTTGTGCCAAAATCTATTTTAAATAATAATGGGTAAGATCACATTGCTATCGAATTGAAACATAAAAAAAAAATTCTGCGCTCAAAAGAAATAACCACTAAAATCAAGAGATGATATTACGAGCAAAACTAAAAACAAAAAAAAAAAATATTTTTTTGTATAAACACTATGTACTTAAATATGCGATTAAAAAGTGAAATATGCTAGGTATTGATAAATTAAAAAATTCCGTTAAGATGTGAAAGTTTTGGTATTTTTTCGTAGAATATGGCAGCATATGAAACTCAATAATTTGGCTGTTTTTAGCGGTTATTCCTTTTTGGCCCAGAATTTACGTTGTTATTTGTGCGTATTTTGTTTTTGTGTGGAAAAGAAAAATGTTTCAGTGTTTGTTTTTTATTTTAATAAATTATGTATGACACATTGCAATTGTCATTTGATTGAAATTTAATCTTGACCGATTTCATGATAACAGCTATCTATAAATTAGCAAAAAGTCGTAGTCGTACATTTTGCATCAAATTCATATACATATGTATGTGTGTGTCTATGCATTAGCGATAAATTCATATTTGCGCAAACCCTAACGTTAATATTAAATTAAAAAATTGATGCATACTTTTAGGCGCTACTATTTCCGTGGAGCCAGGTGCTGTTATTAAATACGGTAAATTGCTCTTATTTAACGATCTTAGCTTTTAGTAGAATGTGTACATTAGGATGACGTAGAAAATGTTTTGTTGCAAAATTCAATACATAATTTTTAATTATGTCTTAAACCACTTATAAATGTATAAAGTTTTATTGCTATTGGATGACGATATCCTTAGCCGTCTTGAAGTCAAAATATACATACTCACAGGTTGGGAAATTTTACTAAGGCAAGGGTGTCTCAAGCGAGGCTTTGTAATATTTCCCCGTGAAATATGCAATGCCTGAATTTCCACAAATCTTCATAGCTGAATTGCTGCATTACCAACGTACCTAGAATCGCGGTGACAAGGACTGGTAAAATTTTTTGGTAATAAAATTTTTCGGTTCCAAATTTTCGGTAGCGTGCAGAATAGACCTGCAAATCCCATTACAATGCTAACGTACTGCATGGTGGCTGGCTGCCTTAGCGATCAGTAAAGATTTGATCCGAAAGTAGCAGTTCGCGGAGGAGAAAAAGGATGCTCGGTATGGGAAGTCAAAAAATTCCGGAAAGGTTGTAGCGTCTACAAGAATGCGATGGATAAACTAGTCGAAATCTATCCAGGAGCATGTCAGAAAATTGTTGAAGATCAGGATATCGCGACCCAGGGCAAGAGCTTGGCTACCGATCTCTCCCATCAGGCTCAATGGAAAGCTTAGAGATATTCCAAGGGTTTAACCCAGGCATAACCATGTACAAATGGAGAGTGGTCAAATGCGTCTTTTAGAACAAAAGGACAAAATAGAGAGACTACGCCTATCGAATTTGGCAAACAAAAATTCTCTTAAGTTCTACGACACCCTAATGTATATACATAGATTAGTGTGGACATTCACTATCGACATCTAAATTTTGTATGGGATATCTACCCCTTAAATTTTTGCTGCGTACAAAATGAAAATATCCACGAAAATTTCAAAACTTCAAACACAATTTTAAAGGTCACAGGCAGGGTTTGAAAAAAAAATGTATCGCAAATGTTTGACAAAAGCATGAGCTCGGAAGGCTATAACATAGCATATTGAAACTTATTCATAAGAATTCATAAACTCGCTGAGTTATAGCTGGGCAAAGTCAATATTTTGATGAATTTTTAGGATTTAAGAGCTAAATTTAATCTTTTCCACCCCCGGTAGCAACCTCTAAATTTTTTGTTCAAATTTTGAAATTTACGTGACATTAGACTATACCAACAGAATGATAAAGTATCTATTTTTGCGAAGCAATTTTTAGATTTTTCGAAACTTTTTTTTAAGCAGGGGTTTTCGCCATATCTTAGGCATTTACGGTCGAATCTTAAATTATGGATAAATCGTTGGTTTTGTCTCACGGAGGAAGATTTTTTGTTCCAAAGTAATGCTCACAAAAAATTATTAAACTTCTTCTAAGTATTTTGAATTAAAAAATAAAAATTTTTGTTGCTGTTTGTATTTGTCCCCAGGTTCGGCCGAAAAAAACAATGAGTTTGTTCACGCTTAACTGGTTATCAGGTTATGGGGTTATGTGGTTATATTTTTTATTCCGTTTACAACAATAAAATGCACTACACAATAATAATTTTTAATCAGATAACCTGATAACCAGGCAAGTGTGAACAACCTCAATTTTGAAGTTGTCTTGCAAAAATACCTTAGACTCAGAGATGCACCGCGAACATTTTGTTTTTTTGTTTTTGTATGGTAGTACGGACTAATGTACATATATATAATTTAAAGTATTCTCATATCCATACTCACATAAACAACTTTTTAATAAGTTGATACTCACATTTTATTTTTAAGAGGAAACAATTTGTAATCTTTTCTCACTTCACCAATTTCTTATCGTTGCAGAAAATACCTGGGTCCATTCATCACCATATCAGCCGGTGCCACCATTCGCAGTTATTGGCGGTCACGACTCGGACGGCACTCCCATCTACGTGGGTCGTTCGTTTCACGAAGGCGACAATCTCCCAGCCAAAGTAGTGCCTAGCAAGGGTGCAGGCTATGTCTGCTGGGGTGGCCGTGAAATCACGAAATCACACTATGAGATACTGGTTGGTCAAGGTTACGCTTGGGTACCCTGCTACGGTGGCTCTGTGCCGCCCAACGCTGTACGCACCGGCACTACACGCTCTGGAGAGCCATTGTACGTTGGACGTGGTCACCATGCCAACAGTTTGACCGTGGGCAAAATACATCCATCGCATGGCTGCTTATACATACCGTTCGGTGGGCAGGAGGTGCGAATCGCCACATATGAAGTACTCATCAAACAGTCCACCGATCAGTGGGTACCTTCAACGCCCAACTATGCACCGCCCAGTGCTGTGGTGGCTGGCTACGATACAGATCGCGCTCCCATTTATGTGGCACGCGCCATGCATGAAGGTGAGCTGCTGCCTGCTAAGTTTGTTCCTAACAAAGGTTCTGCATACGTCTGCGTTGGCGGCTATGAGATCAATAAAATCTCGTTCGACGTCCTCTGCGGCCATGGCTACAGCTGGGTACATGTGTACAATCACGCTATCCCGCCTAATGCTGTATTCAGCGGCATCGGACGCAATGGTCAGCGGCTGTATGTCGGACGTGGCCATCACCATGGCAGTCTGACGCCTGGTCTGATTTCGCAATTACAGCGCTGCCTCTTTATTCCGTATGGTGGTCGCGAAATCCGCGTTGACGCATACGAGGTTCTTTGCCGTCAATAAAAAAAAAAATACTATTGAATACTACTATTGAGATCTATTTTGTATTTGAACAAGAGTAAATAATAAAAGAATATATTTTAACTAAAAATACTAAAAGCAGCAGTTTATAAATACTTCACTGATGTCTGGAAACAAAGCTCAGCGCGACGCGGACGTATGCATCCTTTTATCAAATTTACATTTCTTCTTAGATTTTTATCTATAATTTGTCTATTTTTTATGTCGTACTGTAGGCTATAAATGGGTGCATTCGTCCGCGTACGCTTCAATTCCACCAAATGCCGTACTTGGCGGCAATGATTTTGACGGTGACACCATTTACGTTGGTCGCACATTCCACAATGGCGACACGCTCGTAGCCAAGATCGTACCAAAGAAACAGATTGCTTTTGTATCATGGCGTGGTGAAGCGTTTCCAAAGGATCATTTCGAGGTGCTTTGTGGCACAAATCTCAGCTGGCGTCAATGCTACGATCATGTTATACCCGAGAATGCTGTACTCTGTGGCAAAACGGCGCTGGGTCAGCCTGTTTATATTGGACGCGGTCACTATGAAGGTAGCCTGAGTGTCGGTAAAATATCCTCGGTTCATCGCGCCTTATTTATACCGTTCAAAAATGCAGAACGTCGCTTGGAGTTTTACGAGATACTGGTAGAAGACAAACGTACCGAGGGTTGGGCAATCGATGAGACACCACCACCGCCACTAGAAGAAAAGAAGCCTACTTTTCCAACACCACCAACTGAGGATATGAAGCCTTACCCACCACCGCTAGACGTTAAGCCGCTATTTGGTCCTCCAATGCCAATACCCTTGGGTGCACCCATGGGACCGCCACCTCCGAACGATCCATACAACCCATATGCACCACCAGCGCCAACACATTTCGATCCACCTCCATCATACCAGTCCCTCGGTGTATCTGTCTACCCAACGATCCCCCCAATGCATTTGCCTATGCCACCCCCACGTCCACAACAATCCGATACTTGGGTGGTTTCAAGCGCCAACTATACACCACCAAATGCAGTACATGCCGGACACGATACGGATCTCTCGCCAATTTTGGTTTGTCGTTGTTTTCACAATGGCGATTTTTTGCCGGGAAAAGCGATACCGAGTCGTGCTTGCGCTTATGTCTCATACGCGGGTCAAGAGATACCCAAATCCGATTTTGAGATTCTTATTGGGGAAGGTTATGATTGGGTGCCAGCATCGGATGGTATAATACCGCCGGGTGCTATAGAGGCGGGGCGCACTGCCGATGGTGAGCCATTGTATGTAGGTAGAGCTCATTACTGTGGCAGTCTAACTCCCGGCAAAATTCAGCCGTCTCATCGAGCTCTATACATTGCATTTGGCGGGTATGAAAGGCGTATCCCAAACTATGAAGTACTCGTGCGCCGTAATGACTTCTATCGAGATGAAGCGGTAAAGATGTGCTATTGAATAAATATCTGTTGAACATGAGCTCGTTCAAGTAGAGTAGGCCTTAGAAGCGACATACTTGCAATGACGAAATTTTCTACTAAATTTAATTCTTTGCGCTGTGTGTACATATTTTTGGTATTACTTACTCAGTTATTTATTCATTAATGTAAAGATTTACTAACAAATATACTTTCATATGTATCTATAAAATCAATAAATTATGCAAATGCATACATATAGAGGACTAAACTATAGTTAAGTTTTAGCAAATGGTCTCCAATTTTTCACCCAAACAAAAATTTCACAACTTAACAAAATTCGAATAACATTATGCGGCACATCCAATTACCAGCGATTCTTATTCTAATTTGAATTGAAAGTGTCAAAACACGTGTCCAGTAACGACGCTGAGTTGAGTCTATTGTCTGAAGAGTCCAAAAATGGGTTCCGCAACCATAACACAAAAAAGTGTTTAAAAAACTTTTCTCTGAAAATAAAAATTATTCGGTTAATATATGTACATTGTGATGCGATTTCAGGTAATGGATGTGATGTGATTGTATGTGATGTTATGTCATATTGTATCATGTGATGCCATGTCAGGTGATTTCATGTGTGAAATTAGGTGTGGTGAGTTTAGGTGAGGTGTGGTGAGTTTGGGTGCGGAGAGTTGAGGTGTGGTAAGTTAAGACTTGGTGAATATAGGTGCGTTGAATTTAAATGTGGTGAGTTAAGGTGTAATTGATTTTAGTGAGTTCAGGTGTAGTGACTTAAGGTGTGGTGAATTTAGGTGTAGCAAGTTCAGGTGCGGTGTAGTGGTTAGCAGTGCAATAAATGGTTTAAACTTATTCTCATTTTCGTTGTTGGTATTTCCGACAGGCAGAAGTATGACGTATTTCGGAACGATTTTTCGTCAGCCAGTGTCAAATTTGGTTTGGAGACAAACCGGTTTCGGCGTTGTGCCATCACGCATATTTGTCTTTATTTTTATCTTAATCCAAGCTTTTATCCTCTTCTTCATCTACATATGGGCTCACCTTTAGTTGTGCATACATTTAAGAAGCACTTGTTTCCATCCTAACCATTTCCGGCCCAACCATTTCCGCTGCTAAAGAAGTTTCACTTTAAAAAGTCAATAAAGTTTCCTAAAAGTTTTAAGATTTTCAGTTAGATTTCTTAGAAAGATTTTAGGTATGCATTGTTTGCATATTTCAATTCTATTATGATTTGAAAAAAATAAATTGTTAAAACTTGCAAATATGTGGTGTGTTTATTCTTTTGGCACGGGGTATATACAAATCATTTATAATTTTACGCGAAATACATTTGCAAAAAATTGCCACCAGCTGGCGCTGGAGTCCAGTTATTACAGTTAAACGTCGATATAACCAACCGTGGTAAAACGGAAATCTCAATACGACTGTTCAGGATATTGAGGAAAGGTCTTGGGTTTGCATGTGGAATTGTATTTGCAAATTTTATGCTTGCTTCCTTGGTAACCGTTTGCATTTAGTTTAATGCAAATTCAAGATCACATACACAAGATCCTGAACAACCCTAATATAACACAAAAATTCAAAAGTTTCCACACAAAAATGTTTCACAGATATAACGAAAAATTTTTGACCATGAAACCCTTCGGAATATAGTGGTTATCATAACTTTACGACACTCACATACTGACAAGATTTGATTACTTATCTTAATATTTTAGTTCTTTGTTTAAAAAATTAGTGTAGAGTCTGTAACAAAAACCTAATAAATCCAAGTTTCAATCTTTGTGGAACATTAAAAAAATCAACAAACTTTCGTAAAAATTTCGAGTTTTTTTTCGATTTTTTAGAAATATTTTGAGTAGACAGTTTTGTAGAGTCACAACTCAAAATAAAACGTTTGTCAGAAAATGCGAAAAATTATTTCTTAGCAAATGATAATCATATGAGCAAGGGCGACTTTACCTTAGGTTTTTTTTAACAAACTATAACAAAAATTTGTTCCAGCTTTTGCTTAATGGTAAATAAAAGCTCTGTGTACATTTTTAGCGCATAATCTCGAAAATGGCAAATTTCAAGTTCTGACTCTTTTGAAGACGGTGTGCGATATGTATATACATACGAGTATGTATGTACAAGTACAAACTCTTCTCAAAAATCTCAAAATTTGCTGTGGCGCTCAAAGTGTGATTGACAACTCACTGCGGCTCTCTTTTAAGGCACTATAGTGTAAAATAAATAATATAAAAAAAAACTTTTTAATATACAACGCTTTTATAAATGGACTAAAAAGTAGAAAATAATATTTCT